TAAATAAATAAATAAATAACTGGCTAGTGTTCATACATCTTTCTACAACCCTTCACTTTTCCTATTTCATGATCTTTGCACGATCTGTGTCTCTGTTATATAATTGGGTTGTTACCTGATGGTGGCTGCTTTATTGGAGGATTTAGCCTACTTGCATCCCATATCAGAGCCCCAGTTGGAGTCTCAGCTGCTCCGCTTCCCTTCAGATCCCTGCTAATAAGCCTGGGACAGCAGGAGAGGATGGCCCAAGTGCCCCCTGCCATCTCTGGGGGACACCAGGATGGAGTTCTAGGCTACTGGCTTCTGCCCAGGCTAGGCCCTTGCAGCCATTTGGGGAGTGAACCAGCAAATGGAAGATCTCTCTATCCCTGTCTCTGTCGCTCTGCCTCTCAAAATAAATTTGAAAAACAAAATTCTCCCTTTCTCTGCCACCCTTTCAAATAAATCTATAAATCTTTGAAAATAAGTCACTGCTCATTTAATGCATGTATTTACTCTTTTTGCTCATCACTCCTTCTTGCTCTCCAAGTTCCCATCTAGTATCATTTTCCCTCTACTTAACAACAATTTCTTTCCGGTATAGTTGGAGAAATTTTTTTTTTTTTTTGGTGTAAATTTTCTTAGTTTCCTCTATTGTACCCTATCTTGAAAAAGGGTTTTACTTTTTATAGGACTCTAGGTTGGCAATTATTTCATCACTTTGGATGTGCCATTCTATTATCTTGATTCCCACTGTTTCTATCAAGTCAGTTGCCACATTTTTGGTCAAGATATTACACCTCGCCGGCGCCGCGGCTCACTAGGCTAATCCTCCGCCATGCGGCGCCAGCACACCAGGTTCTAGTCCTGGTCGGGGCGCCGGATTCTGTCCCGGTTGCCCCTCTTCCAGGCCAGCTCTCTGCTGTGGCCTGGGAGTGCAGTGGAGGATGGCCCAAGTGCTTGGGCCCTGCACCCCATGGGAGACCAGGAGAAGCACCTGGCTCCTGCCATCGGATCAGAACGGTGCACCGGCCGCGGTGGCCATTGGAGGGTGAACCAACGGCAAAGGAAGACCTTTCTCTCTGTCTCTCTCTGTCCACTATGCCTGTCAAAAAAAAAAAAAAAAAAAAAAATTACACCTCATCTCTCTCCCTGCTGAAGATTTTCTGTTTTCAACATTTACACAGGTATGATTTTCTTCGAATATATTTTACTTGAGACTTGTGGGACTTCTGAAATGTATAGCTTGATGATTTTCCTAAGTTTAGAAAATTCTCAAGACTTAACTCTAATCATCTCTATTTCTCTTCCTGGGACCCTGCTTAGTCTTAGCTGCTCTGTTTACATTGTTTTCTGGTTCTTTTTTATGCCCTTTGTCTCTGTGTTCGTCATCTGATTTTTTTTTTCCTTTTATGATCAAATTAGCTGTCTCTTCAGCTGTTTCATCTGATGTTAATCTCATTGATGTCATAGGAAGCAATTGATTGGGGCAGCAGCACAGTGGTGATAAGAATTCACCAATGCCAGTGCTGTGACGCAGCAGATTAAAGCCTTGGCCTGAAGCATGGACATCCCACATGGGAGCCAGTTCGAGTCCCGGCTGTTCCACTTCCCATCCAGCTCTCTGCTATGCCCCAGGAAAGCAATAAAGATGGCCCAAGTCCGTCCGCTCCTGCACTCATATGGAAGGTAGAAGCTCCTGGTTCCTGGCTTCAGATTGGCTCAGCTCCAGCCAATCTGGGGAGTGAACCAGCAGATGGAAGACCTCTTTCTGTCTCTACCTCTCTGTAACTCTTTCAAATAAATAAAAAATAAATCTTAAAAAAAAAAGAATTCACCAAATAGTAAGCAGACCTAGATTTATTGAAAACACTGCCAGGAATCAACCCACAAGCAGACAGGTAGGGGCTGACAACTGCTGCCAACACAGGCTGTAATATGAGGGGTACACTTGTAGTGGCAACCCCTTCTTAGAATGGCCATTCCATACACTCGCAAGCGAGCAGTGGGCAGGACAGCCAGAGGTCTTGTGTTGCAGTAGACTACAATTCGAGAAGTATACTTATAACTGCAATATCTTCTCAGGGTGAGTTTGCTATGGTCCAGCTTTTCCCAGGTAGGTGGTTGGCATTGCTGAGCAGAGATGGAGAGCTTGTATTGCCTATAGTGTGCAGCCTCCACCAAACGCCCTGGGCCCACCCTCTAAAATTAACTTCTTAATTTTAGCTATTACATTATTTCTAGAATTTCCATTGGCTTTTAAAATCCCAGTTCCCTACTAAGAGGTTCTGTCTTGGCTTCCTGTGTCCCTCAGACATACTACATAGTTTAGTCCACGATTGTGAGAGCTTCACATGGTGTCTGCTAACTCCAGAATTGGATAAACTTGCCCACTTAGTCACAAGCTGTGCTGGATTAGAGCACGGGCCAATCCAGGGAAGATTTCAGAATGTACAAAGTGAAGAACGTTGACTTCTTGCAAGCAGATTCGTTCCAAAGCAAAGACTTGAAGTTCATGCCCATTTTTTACCCTTCCCATTTGCTACTTACATGTGCCCTTGAGTTCATTCTTTTTTACGTTAAAATCTGTTCGGAGATTATCATGCAGGTAACTTGAGTGTCTGCTTAGCCCATGGAAGTACAGACCAATGGCTACAAATTTGCAAGTGGGAAACAAAACTTGTTCCAACCCAATCAGAATGTAGGTCAAGTCAGCCAAGTTTTCTGATTCTCCCTTTACTAGAAGGCAGACTTTTCTCATCTAGTGCCATGTATGCTGAGGTATCTGGGCTTCAAGTGCCATCCTATTGGAGATGATAAAAAATCACTGAAAGAGTAAGTAAGGAAATAATAAGACTTCATGAAATACTGGAGTTATAAAAACGAATCATTTGGGGTCAATGCCGTGGCATAGTGGGTAAAGCCACTGCCTGCAGCGCTGGAATCCCATATGGGTGCCAGTTCAAGTCCTGGCTGCTTCACTTCCCATCCAGTTCTCAGCTATGGCCTGGGAAAGCAGTGGAAGATGGCCCAAGTGCTTGGGTCCCTGCACCCGCATGAGACCCAGAAGAAGCTCCTGGCTCCTGGCTTTGAATTGGCACAGCTCTAGCCATTGCAGCCATGTGAAGCGTGAACCAGCAGATGAAAGACCTGTTTCTCTCTGCAAATCTGCTTTTCAAATAAAATAAATCTTTAAAAAAGAAAACGAATCATTCAGTCATACCCTCAGGCAGCTTATATTCCAACACAGCAATGGCTCTCAACTTGCGCCCCAGGGAATATCTGCCAATGTCTGGATTTTTGGCTGTTTGGAAGGATGCTACTGTAGAGACCAGGGATGTTGCTAAATATCATACAATGAATGGGACAGCCCCCTAAAGGAAAGAATCATCCTACCAAAAATGTAGCAGTAGAGTAACAGAGAAACAAATAAGCATTAAAACACACACACACACACAGGGTATTATTATGTACAATATTAATTTGGAGGGCATGAAAGTGGGCACAGGAATTCATGAAACACATGGACACCTAAAGCTTAAACTGAATTGGAAAACTATGAAGGGTTTGGGGAGGCAAAAGGATCACAGCCTGGACACTCTGAACATGAGTATGAAAGTGAGGAGTTGGGGCCAGCACTGCGGCTCAGCGGGTTAACACCCTGGCCTGAAGCACCAGCATCCCACGTGGGCCGGTTCCAGTCCCGGCTGCTCCACTTCCTATCCAGCTCTCTGCTGTGTCCTGGGATAGCAGTGAAGGTGGCCTAAGTCCTTGGGCCCCTGCACCCACATGGGAAACCTGGAGGAAGCTCCTGGCTCCTGGCTTCGGATCGGCACAGCTCTGGCCGTTGCAGCCAACTGGGGAGTGAACCAGCAGATGGAAGACCTCTTTCTCTGTCTCTGCCTCTCTCTGTAACTCTGTCTTTCAAATAAACCAAATAAATCTTAAAAAAAAAAAAAAAAAAAAGTGAGGAGTATATTCCCTTACGGGTTTAGAAAACTACAGATAATCTGGTAGGACTAAAACTTATGGGCAGATGAGGTAGGCAGGGAGTAATGGCGTAAGATGAGACTACAGTGAAATCAGAGGCCAGAACACAAAAGGCCTTACATATCAGAAGAGCTCAGACTTCACCTTGGCAGTAAGGTCGCAGGGAGAAGGTTGATAATGAAAAGAAAAAAATATTTTAGAAGGATCATTCTGGCATCATTGCAGATTTAAAGGCAAGATAAAGAACAACTAGCAAACCACTGGAATAATCCAGACCAGAACCAAAATCACAGCACTGAGCGATAGGTGGAAAAAAGAGTACCACAGCCAGTCTTCAGTGTCTGCATATCAAGAGAGGAAATAAGGCCTCATCTCAGTTTTCAAGCACCATGCAGAGACAGAACACAGAGGAACATGCAGAAAAAAAGATGATGAAAGATAATGCCATCCCACTTAGGTTTCTTGTTGTCAAAGAGCTACATACACATACAGATGTGACTACTATTAGAACATATATCAGCAATATCTATATTTCGTGTGCTTTGAACTCTGATTATCATGCTTCAAACAAAAATGGAAAGTAATTTTTTATCTTTTCTTCTATATTTTATGTCTGTTTATCTTACTTTCAGTTGTTTGATATTACATTGTTTTCATTAAAATAAAGCACAGGGCTCAATGCTGCGGTGTAGCGGGTAAAGCCCTGCCTGCAGTGCCAGCATCCCATGTGGGTGCGGGTTCGAGTCCTGGCTGCTCCTCTTCTGATCCAGCTCTCTGCTATGGCCTGAGAAAGCAGTAGAAGATGGCCCAAGTGTTTGGGCCCCTGCACCCGCATGGGAGAGCGGGAAGCTGTGCCTGGCTCCTGGCTTCGGATAGGCACAGATCTGGCCATTGCAGCCATCTGGGGAGTGAACCAGCAGATGGAAGACCTCTCTCTCGCTCTCTCTCTCTCTCTCTCTCTCTCTCTGCTTCTCTGTAACTCTACCTTTCAAATAAATAAATAAATCTTTTAAAAAAACACAGTGTCTTACTTTATTATTTAAGCATTTGTTTAATATTTTAAAATTCAACACTTTAATTTAAACGTTTTAAGATAAAAGTAAAAATAACTGCTTTTTAAATATAACTCTGTAGCAGCAAAGTAGAATTGTAAAGAGCCTTTTAAAAACTCAGTACTTACAACAAAACTGAAGGAAGGTTTATATACAGATATCTAAAAAGATGTTAATATTTATAGATAAATGCCTTATTTTAATCCAATAAATGAACTGTTTCCTGGAAATTAATAATCAAGTTTTTAAAAAGCCACTTAAAATAAACTATCCTTGAAAATAAGGCTTTTAAATCATTCAACATTATCATGAAATAGTAACTTGTTAACAAGATTTACATTAAACATACCAAACAAATATTTACAATCAGCAAAATAAAAATTAGCAAAGCAATTTGCATCTTGAGACCTGGTATTCTGATTCACTTGATTTTAATTTTTTTCTCTAAGAATAAGGCTATAAACAAGTATTTTGAGTACTCAACGCAGAAGTAAACATCCTATTTATAAATAACTTTCATCAATACAATTCATCAATTAACACTAATTCAATACTTTAGCAATTATCTTACGTTAAATGGCAGATCAAAAAATCTGTCACTACATTTCTTCACTGAACAATTAGTATCAAAAGTTAATTTATTAAAAAAACCCTACTTCTACAACAAAATGATTAAACACTGCAAAATTAAATTGGAACAGCTATTTTTCTTTTTTACAAACAGAAAGCTTCAACACTGAACAAACTTAATTCTAAATATTTCCTTGTTGTCTTGAATTGTTCTCTAATACAATTTTTAGTAAGTTATTTACTTAATCGCTTCTTCAGGCTCTCCAGGTGTTCCACATTAACATCTTCTAACGCCAGCACCATTGCTTTAGATGATGAAGGATTATATGAAATAGTCATGAGACAGCACAGATCTATTAGATCTCTCTGGCATTTCTGCAAACCTTCCAGGAACTTTTGGTATTGAAGAGGATCCTTTTTTAACCGTTTCATTTCTAGTACTGAAAACCCTATCAGACTAGTAAGTATCTCATCTACAAAGTCTACATCTAGATATGCGGTACCATCAGAAACCTTTGCAGTTATACTCCAAATTCCACCAGAACTTGAGAGATTTCCAGTTAAAGTTACAATAAAGGCTTTCACTTTCACAGTTGCAACTTCCTTTGACTTGCTGGCCATTAAAATGGACAAATAGCTAAAGGGTGGAGAATACAAATCCACGGCAAGAGAGGAATCCGTGTTATTCACTGATGACCTTAAAGGACGAGTCTGTAAATGATGATCATTTTCTTCAGACCTTTGTGAACTCTTTCTCGGTCCACAGTTGAGCAGCTCTCTGTTTAACATTTTATTTGTCAAAGAGTGTCCACCTGAACTGTTAATGGTTTGCTTAGTTTTATCATCTATCTCTGAGTTCTCATGTTTATTTGCAGAATCCTGGGTCAGGGGCACATCATGATGTACTGAAAAAACACTACTACTACTTTGGTCTCTAGAAGATGGACAACCAAAAGACTCGTCTTCATTAGCCATTTGTTCAGATAAATTTTTTTCATTCCAGCTATTGTTTCCATTTTTGCAAATCAAAGAAAAATTATTAGCAGTATTAGGTTTATGTGAAACCCTCTCTGTACTTCTATCTGTGTTTCTGTTTAAAGCCAACAGCTGCAATTCTTCAGTTTCCATCTGTTCTTTCTGGACAGTTTCTTCTAAAAGCAAGGCCTCTTCCAATGAAAAGTCATCTAATTCCTCATCAGTGAAACGCATAGACTGCTTTGGTGGTTGCTCCTTTGATTTTGGTTCAAGACTTGACTGTCCCATGGGAATAATATTTGAAGAACTACCTGAGTTGAAACATCTTTCCAAGGAGGTGATATGATTTCCTGCAAGCTCATCATTCTCATCAAGACTTGCCAAGAGTTCTTCATCAGAAGGTCCTAAGGCAGGATCCAGATTATCTGTAGCTCTGGGGATGTTCTGGTTTGAATTAACTGGGATGACTGCAACTGCGGGATCAGGTTCCCCAAGTAATCTTGCAAGTACTGTTTCTTGGGCATATTCTTCTAACAGAGCATCGACTTCACCTCCTAACACCTTCACATTCTCTGGTTTCAATAAGAGAACACCAAGACGGAAAGAAATGTTTCCATGAATCAAAATTTTTGTACCTGGAGAAAGATTACTATGAAGAGCTGGAATAGTCTGATACTCCATTCCCTGCATTTGTACAATTCCATCAGTTAGCTGTAGCATCAACATTCGTGAAGGTTTTGCTTCCCAAGGTTTTTGGGTTACTTGTGTTTCAGCTGTAACTAGATCGTTTGCTGTATTCTTTCCTCTCAGCTTCTGTATCTGGGAATATGCAGGTTGGCTCACATCAACCAAGGAGTTAATCTGAAGAGCATAAAATCCATTCAGTTCTCCTTTTGGAACTTCTAAAATACCATCAGGTAAAAGAGGATGCTCTAAATCTCTCAGATCCGTAAGTAGCCATTGTTCAAACACTTGTTTATTCATTTGTGCCTGACTCAAACTGACATTACTGTTTTCTTCTTGGATCCAGTTAATACAAGCTTCCAGCCACATCAGAGGCACTTTAACATGCCATGTAGCTAAAAGCCAGGTTTCAACTCTTAATGCAATACTAGTCACACTCATTTCCTTTAAATAAAATAATATGCTTCTGTTACCTGAAAACAAAAAATAAAACTGTAATTCAATATATTTAAGTACAATTCTATAATTATCTACAATGCACAAACAAGTATAACCGTACCCTTTAGATTTTTCTCTTTAGCATCTGAAAACTGTTTACCTTCTACATGGCCAAAATTCAAATCCCACAGGTAACCAGTTAGTGTTATGAGAAAAGTGAAAGGTTCCAGACAGATACATGTGTGAAAACTGTCTCTGTCAAATCACAAACTACGTCACCTAACAGATTTCTCACCTCCTCTAACCCCATGTTTTCATCTCCAGCATCTGTCCTACGGGGTTGTTGTGAGGGTTACGTGAATACTTGTAAAGTGCAAAGCCAGACTTATGAAAGACACTCAGCAACAATTATTACATTAACATGGTAATCAGATTCTAAGCATTTGAAATTTAAAATTTAGTTAAGGGGTGGGCATTCAGCACAGCTGTTAAGATACCATTTGGGACTCCTGCACCCCATTTCAGAATGCCCAGGCTTGGGGCCCACCTCCTCCACTTCCAATGCAGCTTCCTGCTAATGCAAACCATGAGGGGCAGCAAACGATGGCTCAAGTATCTAGGTCACTACTACACACCTGGGGAGATCAAGACTGAATTCTGAGTTCCTGGCTTCGACCTCGCTGCTGTGGGCATTTGGGAACTGACTCAGCAAAGGATCTATCTCTATCTGATTCAGATTCTCTCTCCCTGCCTTTAAAAAAATAAATAAACTCTTTAAAAAAATAAAGTTCAGTGAAGATACAACGTTCACTAAGGTTGTTTTCACATCCACAATTCTATATTCAACGCTATTAAAACTTATGCCACTTATAGGCCGGCGCCGCGGCTCACTAGGCTAATCCTCCGCCTAGCGGCGCCGGCACACCGGGTTCTAGTCCCGGTCAGGGCGCCGGATTCTGTCCCGGTTGCCCCTCTTCCAGGCCAGCCCTCTGCTGTGGCCAGGGAGTGCAGTGGAGGATGGCCCAGGTGCTTGGTCCCTGCACCCCATGGGAGACCAGGAAAAGCACCTGGCTCCTGGCTCCTGCCATCGGATCAGCGCGGTGTGCCGGCCGCAGCGCACTGGCCGCGGCGGCCATTGGAGGGTGAACCAACGGCAAAGGAAGACCTTTCTCTCTGTCTCTCTCTCTCTCTCACTGTCCACTCTGCCTGTCAAAAAAAAAAAAAAAAAAAAAACAAACTTATGCCACTTATGTTTGGTCATTTAGCACTTAAATATGTGATCTAAGGATAAAATTACAGATGTAATAGTAGACTTTGAACTAATATAAAACATCTTGTTAGGCAAAATATTCTCGAGAGTCCAGCCAGGAAAATATATTTGCTTCTGATTTATCAGTATGGTAAAGCACTAAAGACCGATCAATCACATATTCACAAAAACATACTTTGTTCCTTCTACAGAAGAGGATAGAAGAGGTAACATTTATTAATGTTTTAATAAGCCCATAAGAAAACTTACCACTTGGAACAGCAGCAGGGATTCTGACGACAGGATTTGGAACTGGCTGTTCAGTGGAGTTCCTGATACCTCTACTGCTCAGAAATGGCCCTGGGAGATAAGCAGTAAGGGTGCCAAGATGAAGCTTTAGAAAGAGTCACTGGCCTACTTTCATGAGGGCAAGAGTTTGATGGTACAGTTTTCCAGAGTCCTGTTATCAATCAGGGTTCAGTGGAAGCAAAAATAGAATAGAAACATGAGGTTTGGAGTGAGTTAACAAAAACAAGACATTCTGAGAAAGTTACACTCCCTCTAAGCCTGTTTCCCTATCTATGTACAAGTGTACTTTAAAAAGTTTATGAGAAAATAGAATTAGGAGTTATTTATTATGGTATAAAAATATTTTGAAATCCATGCAGTTTTTTCTTTAAAAAAAAAAAAAGATTTACTTGGGGCTGGCGCTGTAGTGTAGTAGGTAAAGCTGCTGCCTGCAGCACTGGTTCCAGTCCCAGCTGCTCCACTTCCCATCCAGCTCCCTGTTAATGCGCCTGGGAAAGCAGGGGAGGATGGCCCCAGTCTTTGGAACCCTGTACCCAAGTGGGAGACCCAGATGAAGCTCCTGGCTCCTGGCTTCAGTATGGACCAGGCCTGGCCGTTGTAGTCATTTGGGAGTGAACCAGCAAATGAAAGACTGCTCTCTCTCTCTCACCCCTCGCCCTCACCTCTCCCTCTATAACTCTTTCACTAAAAATAAAATAAATCTTTAAAAAAAGACATTTATTTGAAAGAATTACATGGAGAAAGGGACAGAAAGAGCGAGAGCGAGGGAGAAGGTGACGGTGATGGCATGGGCGAGGGAGAGAGATCTTCCATCTGCTGGTTCATCGCCCGGATGGCCACAATGGCCAGGGTTGGGCCAAACTGAAGCTAGGCACTTCTTGAGGTTCTCCCACATGGGTGGCAGGGGCCAAAGTATTTGTGTTATTCTCTGCTGCTTTTCCCAAGCAAGGAGCTGGATCAGAAGTGGAGCAGCCAAGACACAAAACGGGCACCCATATGGGATGCTGACATCATAGTCAGCAGCTTTACCTACTATATCACAACACCAGCCCCGCAGTTTTTTCAAAATACACATGAACTTTTTGAAGATCTCTTGTATACACAAATATAACATTTTTTGCACCAAAATAAACTCATCTTTTAATTCCATTTTCCAGAAACTTTTTGAATCCTCAAAGGAACATGGAAAAAACATGTTTGATGCAGTGATTCAGAATATAACTCCAGGGCCCAACTTTCACTTTCAGATTCTGTAACTCCAAACAAGCTACTCAACGTCAAGGTACCCTACTTATATGACCTGTAAAATGAGAAGAATAGCACTTTCCTCATAGGCTTATTATGATTAAATTAGTATGGGGAAAAGTAGCACCTGGCACATAATAAGAACTCAGTAAATGTAAACTATTATTAGAGCATCTATTACAGCACTTGAAAAAAAAGCAGTCACTCAAAAACTAGTCATTGTTATTTTAGGTTAAATGTTTCCCACATTGGATAAAGTCCTAGACAACCCTGAAATTAGTGAACTGAGACTTTTTTAAAAGTTCTCAAAGAAATAATCTACTTACTTGAGACTGCAGGAGCTTAAATGCTGAAAATGCTAGCAGAGTTCACCCTAAGCTATTTCACACCGCATCCCAAACCGCTGAAAGAAGTGCAGCAGTGCCCGAGGAACGCTGCAAACTGAACACCCTTTCATGTTTCTTAGCAACTAGAACTCCTATTATGCCTCTACACTTTTCTTCCACTTTGCTTCTATATATACTACTGGTACATGGCAAATGGGATCTAAGTGCTCGCTACCATTAAAAATTTTTAAACAGTCCAAAAAAGAGGACATGGAAGCATACAGCTCTCAGGAATCTACAAACATTCATTTAATTTAAAGAAAGGTTAACATTTAAAGAAGATAGGGCCATAGTAGGTAAGGCCACCGCCTGCAGTGCCATCATCCCATATGGGTGCCAGTTCAAGTCCCAGCTGCTCCACTTCTGATCCAGCTCTCTGCTGATGGCCTAGGAAAGCAGAAGATGGCCCAAGTATTTGGGTCCCTGCACCTTCGTGGGAGACCCAGAAGAAGCTCCTGGCTCCTGGCTTCAGATGGACCACACCTCTGGCCATTGCGGCCATTGAGGAGTGAACCATAGGATAGAAGACTTCCTTCTCTCTCTCTCTCTCTCTCTCTCTCTGTAACTCTGCTATTCAAATAAATAAATAAATCTTTAAAAAAATTTTAAAGATGGGGAAGTTAAGGTTATTACAATTACATAACTGATGAATCTCTGCATCAGAGAAAATGAGACTATTTTAAATTATATGTGGAAGGGGCTAGCACTGTGGTATAGTAGGTTAAGCATCCACCTGCAGCACTGGCATCTCACATGGGCGCTGGTTCAAATCCCAGCTACTCCACTTCCAATCTAGCTCCCTGCTGATGGCCTGGGAAAGCAGTGGAAGATGGCCCAAGTGCTTAGGCCCCTGCACCTGCGTGGGAGACCTTGAAGAAGCTCCTGGCTCCTGGCTTTGAATTGGCTCAGCTCTGGCCATTGCAGCCATGTGAAGAGTGAACCCATGGATGGAAGACCTGTCTTTCTCTCTCCCTCTCTCTCTAACTGTTGTTTCTCAAGTAAATAAATAAATCTTTTTAAAAAGTATATATGGAAAACAACATAAAAATCCAAAGGTGGGGCTGGTGTCATGGCATTGTGGGTAAAACTACCACCTGTGATGCTGGCATCCCATATGGGTGCCAGTTGGAGTCCCAGCTGCTCCACTTCCGATCCAGCTCTCTGCTATGGCCTGAGAAAGCAGTAGAAGATGGCCCAAGTGTTTGGGCCCCTGTATCCATGTGGGAGACCCGGAAGAAGCTCCTAGCTTCTGGCCATTGCAGCCATGTGGGGAATAAACCAGTGGATGGAAAACTTCTGTCTCTCCCTCTCTCTGTAAATCTGCCTTTCAAATAAACAAAATAAATCTTTTTAAAAAAAATTCAAAGGTAGGAAAGGTCCCTGCCTGTTGTAAAGAAAATAAACTATGTAGAGTTTGAAATATATGAAATCAGTCTGTCTCTTTTTTTTTTTTTTTTTTAAGATTTAGTTATTTATTTATTTATTTTGAGAGATAGAGTTACAGGCAGTGAGAGGGAGATTCAGAGAGAAAGGTCTTCTTCCATTGGTTCACTCCCCAGGTAGCCGCAATGGCCAGAACTACGCCGATCCGAAGCCAGGAGCCAGGTGCCTCCTCCTGGTCTCCCATGGGGTGCAGGGCCCAAGCACTTGGGCCATCCTCCACTGCACTCCCAGGCCACAGCAGAGAGCTGGACTGGAAGAGGAGCAACCGGGACTAGAACCCGGTGCCCATATGGGATGCCGGTGCCACAGGCAGAGGATTAACCTACTATGCCACAGCACCAGCCCCATCAGTATGTTTCTTTAACAAAGAAACCAAGAGTTCTTTCACAAGCTTCCTGATTTATCAAATAGAAATACCTTCAACCTTCTTGGTAAAAAAGGAAAGCAAAATATAGAACAGGCTATATGGCATGCTAACTTCTATATACAAATTAGAGGGAAGTAAGCACATGCTTACACACTTACAAACCCATCAAAGCCATCTAGAAGGATCTGTAATAAACTAGATACAACTAATTGGGCACTAAAGTCATGCAGCCTGCAGGAAAAGAAAACAGACTGAAAACAATGTGGCCAACATTCCAAAAGCTCTAGAGTCTACTATGCCATGTAAGGAGCAAAAGACTGGAAACAGACTCCTTGCCAGAACTGGGCCAAAAACTGTACCTCGCAACAGCAACCTGTAGCTTATGGAGGGAGCAGAGCTGCCCTGAGCCTACATTCACACATGGAATACACACAAAAATACTTCAAAAAGTTCACAGAACAGGGGATTAAAAGTAGGAGGGTAGGCACTGTGGTGCAGCAGTTAAACTGCTGGCTGAGATCCATGTACCCAGTATCAGAGCACCTGGCTTCAAGTCCTGCCTCTGCTTCCAATCCAGCTTACTGCTAATATACACCCTGGGAGGCAGCAGGTGATGGCTCAAGGACAGGTTCCTGCCACCCACATGGGAAACCTGGATGGAGTTCCAGGCTCCTGGCTTTGGCCTGGCCCAGCACTGGCTGTTACAGACATCTGGGGAATAAGCCAATAGGTAGAAGATCTCTCTATCTTTTCTCTCTCTCTCTCCCTCTGCCATTCTGCTGTCCAAATAAATTATACATATTTATATAATTTATAATTATACATATAAAGTAGTAGTCTATATTTTAGGTAAAAAATTGTTTGAAATCTATGTAGTTTCTTCATAATATACATTTTTCACAAATCATGAAAAAACTGCACAAAAAATTTTTGCATCAAAATAAACTCAATTTTTTTTTTACACTTATTTTTTATTTAATTGAAAGAGTTACAGAGAGTAGATAGAGGGGACAGAGAAAGAGAGGTCTTCCACCCACTGGTTCACTCCCCAAATGTCCACAACAACCAGCGCTAGGTCAAGCTGAAGTCAGGAGCTCAGAGCTTCTTCTGGGTCTCCCACCTGGGTGCAGGAGCCTAAGCACTTGGTCCATCTTCGCTGCTTTCCCAGGCACATGAGCAGGGAGCTGGATTGGAAGTGGAGCAGCTGGGACTCGAACTGGCATCCATATGGGATGCTGGTGCTGCAGGCAGAGGTTTAACCTACTGTGTTACAACGCCAGCCCCAACTCACATTTTTAATTCCATTTTCCATGAACTTTGTGAAGTACCCCATGGTTCAGAATTGGGATATTCAAAGTAAACCCAAGGGGCTGGCACTGTGACACAGGGTTAAAGCCCCAGCCTGAAGCACCAGCATCCCAAATGGGTGCCAGTTTGAGAACTGGCTCCTCCACTTCTGATCCAGCTCTCTGCTACAGCCTGGGAAGGCAGTAGAAGATGGCCCAAGTCCTTGGACCCCTGCACCCACATGGAAGACCCAGAAGAAGCTCCTGGCTCCTGGCTTCAGATCGGCATAGCTCCGGCCAGTGCAGCCAACTAAGGAGTGAAACAACAGATTGAATACTTCTCTTTCCTCTCTCTGTGTAACTCTGACTTTCAAATAAATTTTTAAAATATTAAAAAAAAAAAAAGTAAACCCAAATCTCTAGTAAAACAATTGACGTTGAACTATGTCAGCCAGATAGGCTAAACTTCAAAACCACACAAAAGGGGGAAAACTTATCTAACATAAGTCCTCAAACCAAAATTACCATGAGCTGCATCAGCAGACACAAAAATAGAAATCTGGACCTTATACAATATAAAATTAAAACAGATTAAAGATCTGAAGATAACACCTGAAACTATAAAACTAGAAGAAAACAGATATCATGAAGTACAAATAGCAGAAGCAAAAACAGACAAATGGGACTTTAAAAACTTAAAAAGGATACAATCAACAGAGTGAAAATCCACAGAATGGGAGAAAATATCTGCAAACTACATATCGGATGACAGGTTAATATCCAACATTGATATAGTAATAAATGTATATAATAGTAAATAGTATACATACATATAAAACTCAACTTGATAACAAAAAAGCAAATAAGTAGGCAAAGCTCTTTAAAAGACATTTCTCCAAAGATATACAAATGGCCACCAGGCACATGAAAGTGCTCAACATAACTGATAATAAGAGTAATAATGTAAATCAAAGCCACAATGATATATTGCCTTACAGCTGCTAGGGTGGTCAATATTTTAAAAAACAACAAGAAAGAAAGAAAAAATAAATGTTGGTGAGGATGTGGAGAAATTAGAAACCCTGTACACTATTAGGGGAAATGTAAATTAGTACAACCATCAAGGAAAACAACATGGAGGTTTCTCAGAGAACTAAAAATAGAACTATCGTATGATCCAGCTAGCAAGACATAAAGAAAACAATATATAGCGCAAAAGGAGTAGAAAAATGTTATAAATAGAAATAATAAATAAGATGGTAGAAATGTCTAAATATGTCAACAATAACAACGAATATGAGGGGCTGGTACTGTGGCACAGTGGGGTAAGCTACTGTCTGCAATGCCAGCATCACATATGGATACTGGTTCAAGTCCCAGCTGCTCTGCTTCTGATCCAACTCCCTCCTAACGCTCCTGGGAAAGCAACAGAAGATGGCCCACTTGGGCCCCAGCAACCACGTGGGAGACCCAGAAGAAGCTCCTGGCTCCTGGCTTTGGCCTGGCCCAGTCCCGGCTATTATGGAGTGAATCAGTGGATGGAAGACTTTTGTCTCTCCTCTCTCTGTACCTCTGTGTTTCAAATAAATAAATAAATCTCTAGCAAAAAATAAAAACAATGAACATGTACAGGTTAAACTCACCAGTCAAAAGATGCTTTCATATTGAATAAACCACATTCAGTTGTATGCTTCATAAGTGACCTAAAACAAAATAACACCAAAATACAACATTAAATAAAATCATGGCCTATTAAAATGTCCAATCACAATTCCATGAAGCCATTAAACAGTGACATCATATTTACAAATACTGTGATAGCTGTACTTACAAAACCTACACTTCCAAAGTGCTGTTTTCCTGCATCTGTTGTCATTTTTTTCTAACTCAGATATTAAGCTAGATGTGTTGTGCTCCGTTGCATTGATTCAGTAGGGTACTTACTGCCTCCACTAATATTTAAACACCACAGTTCAGGCAAGCGAACCCAGAATCATTCTCAAAGGTGTTGTGGTAACGTGATGACAATCAACAGATAAACTGAAATCAGGACAAAGTGTACTTTCAGTAGAGCTATAATTGCTTAAGTAAATTAAGTACAATTATTTATCTAGCATAAATGTGCAATTACAGTTAAGTTGCTTACAGAATCTTTTGTACTATAAATCTCTTTGGATACAGTACAGGTCCCTAATTTAGTATTATATGCAACCGAATAACAGATACGCTATTTTCTACCTAGACCTCGTTAAACACCGGGAGATAATACTGTTGAGACTTCCAAGAGGAGGAAGAAAGACTGGCTAGTTGTGATTTGAAAAAGCCAAGGCTGCACAGAAAATCAAACAAGGCCAAATTTTAGAGAGATGAATCCTATTCCCAGCAGGTACAGATAACACAGAGAACTGGAGATAATGGTTTGTTAAAAATTAACTAAAACTGCTTAACCTCAAAGTAATAACTTGTGATAGAAAGAGTATTATTAACTATATGAGTGATGAATAAACTGAGGCATGGAGATTAAGCCATAAAGATCACACCGAGAGGCCAGCATTGTGGCACAACAGCTTATAATGGTGCTTACGACAACAGAACGCCATCTAGGAATCCCACACTGGACTGCCAGTTTCAGCCTCTGATCCAGCTTCCTCCTATTGCCCCTGGGAAGGCAGCAGATGATGGTCCAAGTACTTGGGCCCTTGTTATCCATGTGGGAGACCAGAATGGAGTCCCTGGTTTCAGCCTGGCCTAGCCCTGGCTGTTGTGGCCATTTGAGGAGTAAACCAGGGGACAGACGATCTCTGTCTCTCTGTTACTCTTTCAAATAAATCTTGAAAAGAGAGAGAGAGAAAAAAAGATCATACCAAGTAACAGACCTCTGCTAATCTCCATTCCTATAACTTCATCCTTTACCCTGTTGACTTAGGTGCAAAGGGAAAGTGTAGCCAGTCCCTACTGTATATAAAACTCACTTACATAAATAGCCATTCTAAAACACACCACCATTAAAATGAACAGACTTGGGGCCAGCATTGTGGGGCAGTTGGTTAAGTTGCCTGTGATGCTGGCATTCCATATGAGCACCAATTCAAGGCTCATCTGCTCCACTTCTAATCTAGCTCCCTACTAGTTGCCTGGAAATACAGCATATGATGGTCCAGTGCTTGGGCCCCTGCCACCCGTGTAGGAGACCCAGATGAAGCTCCTGGATCCTGGCTTCAACCTGGTCCAGCCCTGGCCCTTGCAGCCAGGGGAATGAACCAGCAGATGTAAGATCTCTGTCTGTCCCTTTCTCTCTGTAACTCTGCCTTTCAAACAAATAAGTAAACCTTAAATAAAGCAAAGACTTGAGAGCAGGATGTTCGGACTAGCAGCTAAGGATGCCTACAACCTGTATCAGAGGGCCAAGGGAGTTCAATTCCTGACTCCATTTCCCTGTCAATGCAGACCCTAGGAGGCAGTGGTGACAGTTTAAGTGATTAGGTTCCTGCCACCAGGTGAGAAATATAAATTTGAGCTCCTGGCTCCCAGCTTCAGTCCTAGCCTAACTCCAGCTGTCGTGGTTATTTAGGGAGAAAATCAGTAGATGGGTGCTCTTTCACTGCCTTTAACATAAAATTTTGACTAATCCAATATATCAATCTTATTTGGATCCTTATTCAAAATGACCCATTAGTTAAAAATCTGATTAAAGGTGCTAGCATTGTGGCACAGAAGGCTAAGCTGCTGCCTGCAACGCTGGCATCCAATATGAGCACCTGCTGGCTGCTCCACTTCCAATCCAGCTCCATGCTAATGCCCCTGGGAGAGCAGTGGAGGATGGCTCAACCACTTGGGCCCCTGCAGCCATGAGGGAAACCTGGATGGAGTTCCAGGCTCCTGGCTTCAGCCTGGCCCAGTCCTATAGTTGCAGCCATTTGGGGAGTGTACCAGCAGATGGAAGATCTCTCCATTCTCTTTCTCTCCCTCTCTCTGCAACTCTTTCAAATAATTAAAATAAATCTTTAAAACCAACACCACCAACAACAAACCCTGTATTTTAAGAGTAATGGATCAGATGATTTTTATTATTTTTATTTATTCCAAACAGGTACTTCTGGGCCGGCGCCGCGGCTCACTAGGCTAATCCTCCGCCTTACGGCGCCGGCACACCGGGTTCTAGTCCCGGTTGGGGCGCCGGATTCTGTCCCGGTTGCCCCTCTTCCAGGCCAGCTCTCTGCTGTGGCCAGGGAGTGCAGTGGAGGATGGCCCAGGTGCTTGGGCCCTGCACCCCATGGGAGACCAGGAAAAGCACCTGGCTCCTGGCTCCTGCCATCGGATCAGCGCGGTGCGCCGGCCGCAGCGCGCCGGCCGCGGCGGCCATTGGAGGGTGAACCAACGGCAAAAGGAAGACCTTTCTCTCTGTCTCTCTCTCTCACTGTCCACTCTGCCTGTCAAAAAATAAAAAAAATAAAAAAAATAAAAAAAAAACAGGTACTTCTTTGTGTTACTGAACAAGGCAACTGACAAAAACTCCTCTCAGCTGACAGTTGGACAAATTCTAAGAAACACTGCTTGGCAAACCACAACAACTAAATTGTTCCATCAGTATGTGCCAGTCCTAATTAATAAAATTCTCTCCAAGTACTACCCTCCAGGATTTGAATCTCAACTTCTTTAACTGACATACTATAATTTTATGGTAATGTTATCATAATCAAGCAATAATAGAAAACTCCAGTGACTAAAACCCCAAAAGATAACCAAGACATTTGCAAAACACAAGCAAATATGAGAGATGCTTAATATTGTAGAAGCATTCAAATATAACTATTCTCATGTATTGTACCAAAAAGTCAAGAAGTCTGGAGAGGAAACTATTAAATGCACATATATTACATGGAATTCTTCAATTAACAGTAAAGTAAAATAGATGGCATAATTGATTGGAACATGGCTATAGCCAACTACAAATCATAACCATCCAAATAAAAAGATGATGTATGATAGGATTTTTCCCTCATAGGTTAGAAAGCTGATTAAGATGTTTAATTCAATGGAAAAAGTGTTATATAAAGTCTGTATTATAAAGTTTAGACTGGGTTTCAATAATTGAGACCCTTGAATTATTAAGTAAACTGTATTACTTGCATCTAGTCCTTAAGAGACTTAACGTTTTCATGCATCTCTTTCTGGAGAAATTTGGTAACCATAGTCACGGCAGGTAGGAGCAGCTCTGAAGGAAAGGTTAGCCAGGGCGGCACAATTTCCCATTCACCATTACACAAAGAACAGCCCTCACCCTCAAGAACACCACTGTCGAAGAAGAGAAAAACAAATTACGAAAAGATGGTTTCCAAATTGTACACCGATATCATGTGCATACAAAATAATCCACTTCTTTTGCTTTTCAGAACTAATGCTAAGGAAACGATCAGAAATGAAAACAAAGATGTATGTGCCAGAATGTTTATCACTGTGTTTTTATATTGTGGAACAAACAATCTGTTCAAAATTAGAAAAAAAAAATCATATAGATTGCATTGATCCACATGAAATGGAAGGCTAGGGACTCTAAAGAAATATTACTAAGGACTATTTAGTGACACGAAAACACATTCACATTTTGTTAGTAAAAAGCCAGATATAAAGCTTAATCCCCATTAGTTTTATAATCAGGAAAGAAGATTAATTTTAAAAAATTAATTAATATTTTCTGCATGATAAACTTGGCCGACCACACTAATCTATATTCTACATCTTGACTGCAGGAACCAAACAGAATAGAGTAGGAAAATTCTATCACTCACCACTAAGGCATATTTGATTTATGGGTTAATTTTCAATCAGTCTCTCATCTTACAATTTTTTTCATAGAAAAAGAGGTGGCAGGACCATCCTTTTGGGCATTTTATGCAGCATTCTACCAACAGCTAAGATTTAAAAGCACTAACAAATATTTAAGTCAAGTCCATGTTCCATTATCTTTCCCTAAAGGTAGCTCTGCATTTTCATTCGCTGGATGGATTTCATGGTAATTCCACAATTTTGAGAAGGTATTCTAAATATTAGGGAGGGAACATTTATATATAATTGAAATCAGAAATAAGTAATCAGAGGAACTGCCTGTAGATCCTTCATATGTAATGTTAAAAAAAAAAAAAAAGAATAGGCTTGGGAGTCTGAAACAGGACTCTGTTATGTGACCTTGGGACCATGGCTTCTCTTAGTCTTAATTCCCTCATCCATAAAACAAAGACAACCATAATTTACTCCACAGGCTGTAATAAACTTCAAATTGCCAGCACAGGCCTAGCACATAGTGGGGAACTCAGGAAATGGTAGTTAAAAATAATCATCCAGCTGGCTAATGCACAGTCTCAATTATATTAGCCTATTGAAAGAAAGTAAATTCCACTGCTAATACTAGTTCTAAATTCAAATCCAAAATGACCACTACATCATACTATCATTTATACCAATTAATTACACCGGACATCAGCCTCTACAATTATCAATCAAGTTGGCAAGACCTTGAATGAACACAGGTGTATGCAAAAAGTTCTTGGAAAATGCGTACTACGAAAAGATTTTGCACAGATTTTTTTTTTTACACCAAAATAAACTTATCTGTCAATTTCAGTTTTCCATGAACTTTCTAAAGCACCCAGTATTGCTGGGGAACTCTTAATTTAAATAATGAAAGGATGGGAGAAAGACCTCCTGTTACTTACAGAGATTTAAAAAATAAGTTAAAAGAGGTAAGACAGAAAACAAACAGGTTAAGGACTGTTGGGACAACCAACTCCATCACAATGCCATCTGGAGGCTGAGCCAGTCAGGGTCCAGCAGGTCCAGTGCAATTGGGAGGCTCCTACACAGCACTGCACGCTTGGAATTCCTCCTCATGTCTGATTATCAACACAGAAAATGATGGCTGAAACAGAAACATGAACTCCAAAGAAAGTACTATGATTACAGTCCCACTTACGTGCACATCAGTATCAGTGAAACGTTCCAGGTTTCTGATGACAGATTTTATCGCATTAAATGTTGCCAACCCTGACTGGCACAGGAAATCTCTGTAAGTGCAAGTATCCCTGAGCCCCTACAAACATGCATCAATTCTTGGCTGAACGTTTCATAAAAATCCGAATTTTCTATCTTAAAGCTAAAATGTGAGTTAAATATCACCAACAAGACTGCACAGCCTTCATGGTAGGGGCTGCATGATATGGGAAATTACACTGCCACTTAAAGAGAACTTCTAGAAGCTCCACAACACCGGACGTGATCCCTGAATTGTATTTGTTAACTCCCCTCCCAAGATGTCAACGCTGAGATCCTGAAGTCCTCAGTTTCCCCTACAACCATCCAAGGGTTTTCTTCCCAATCAGGCAGGGAGAGAATGGATGGATGGATGTCACCACTGCATTTAAAAGGACGCTGGTGCATCCTATTTTGCAAAGTGTTGAAGAAGGGAATTAAGTTGCAATAAGAATGAATCAGCACAAACCCATCACCAACTTAAAAAAAAAAAAAAGTACGTATTCTGCTCCCGGCGGGTTTAGCGCCCTTGTGTCGATGTTAACATCTTTCTGCCTCAACAAGTTCGCGCCCGCAGGTGCAAGGCGGCGTTCAGGACGTGGAAAACGGGTACTCAGGGCTGCGACTACCCAGGTCTGTCACAGACGCAGAGTGACCTTAGGGGCCTGAACAAAAGAAGTCATCAAGCCTTAGGCCCCGGGGCTGGGAAGAGGAATCGGCACGAAGCGGGAGCGCGGAGCAGCAGGAAAGGACACCTAGGTGAGGGCGAGGGGTTTTGTCAGCCTGCAGCACGGTCCCGGTGCCCGCGGCTCGGGCGGGCGCGGCAAGAGCGAAGGGAACCCGACTCCGACGCCCACACAACGTGCTCCCGCCATCCGCACTCGGTTCAGACGAATGCGATATTTACTTCCCGAAACTGCAATAAACTACGACAACACTATAAATGATCCCCTCCACCGCGTTCTTCAAAACAAGGAAAAGAATGAACAATCTCGTCAGAAACGGAGGAAAAAAAAAAAAAAGCCTGGGGTCCTCCCGCCACCCCCAACCAGGACCGAGCGCGGACGCCGGCCCGGACTCGGGCTCGCCCCGCGCTTCCTTCCCGGGACCCCGCTCGCCGGCCGGGCCTCCGGGGGTCCCGTCCCGCACCGCCCCGCAAGCCGGGCGCGGCCGGGGGGCGTCCCGGGGACCCCGCGACGTGTGGACGGTGGGGGCCGGGCGTCCCCCGGGGCCGAGCACCGACCTGGGCGTCCCGCCGTCCGCTCGCGCCACCGCGGACCTGCTACGATGAGCACGGTATGCGTTTGGCGAGTCTGCGAACGATTTTTTTTTTTTTTTGCCTCTTCCCGCCCGATTTCCCGCGCGCTTCAGCCCCTCCCCCAGTCCCGACAGACGCCGTCTGCCCTCGAAGACGCCCCTGCGCCGCCCCCTCCCCGTGCGCGTGAACGAGGCCGGTTCTCGCGAGACCTTCTCCCCTTCCCTCCCCCTAGGTAGCGAGTGCGCGAGCGAGCGAGGAGGAGGGCGCTCCAGGCGACGGCACTGCAGACGCCATTATCCTCTGTTTCTCTGCCGCACCGACCTCGACCTCCTGTCTGCGGGCTCTAGGTAATTGGAGTTACTGGGGCTTAGGAACTGCGGCTTTAGACACGGGCTAGGCCTCCGCGGAAGGCTGCGGCTGACTTCGTCCCAGCCCGGGTTTTCTTTCAGGCCCTTCGTGGCCTCACAGCCCGAAGGGAGGCGCCGGCGGGGGGCGGGGCTGTGGCCGCCGTGGCCCTGACTGGCGCGGTCGGCGGCCAATCGCTTCGCACTCGCGCCACCGCCGAAGCTCGCGCAGCCAATCGGGCGCGGCGGCGGGGGTAAGGGGGCGGGAGGCGGGGGAGGGGGGCTCGCGCTCGTTCTCTGTCTAGCTGTGACCGGCTGAGGCGGCGCGGCGGGCGAAGGGACGGCGGCCTCGCGCGGTGAGGAGCGGCGCCGAGCGGGCGGCGCGCGGGGACGAGGGTCGGAGCCCGGCTTCTCCGCTGGAGAGAGGCTTTCCCGGGGGCTGTTGGTGGTTGGCCGCTTCTCGGAGAGGGGGGAGGGCAAACGGTGGCCGCCTCCCCTCCCCCACCTCCGCCATTTCCCTGAGCGTCTATCTGCAGTCCGCGCCGCGGTGTCAGACCCTCCGGGGGACCGCGAGGCACGTGCCTGCTTGGGGAGGGCCTGTAGTTAGGCGGCGTTGGGAGCCGGGCGCTGCGTGTGTGAGGAGAAGCGGCGGCCGGCGGTCGGGAGTCGGAGGCGGTGCGAACGCTGCAGCGCTCTTTGTGCGGCTCCCCCCGGGCCAGGGGTTGGGGGAACGGCCTCGGTGGCTTTGTCTCCTTCGGGCGCTGGCGGGGGTGGGTGGGTGCGGGGGACGCGATCGCGGGACCGCGTGGTGGGTGGGGGAGGGGGTCCGCGCTCGGCTCCGCCTCGGAGCACGTAGTCGCCATTACGCGGGCCGCCATTTCCTGTCGGGTCGCGGCAAGCGGAGGTGCGGCTTTTTTTTTTTTTTTTTTTTTTTTTTTTTTTGCCGTCGGCTTTGGCCCTTTTCTGCGCCCGGGCCGGCTCGGCTATTGGCAGTCGCGGTGTCGGGAGGCGAAGAGGGGGCAGCGCGGGGGCGGGCGCTCCCCGAGTGGCTGCGGGGTCTGCGGAGTGGGGACTGCGGTGCCTCGAGGTTGAGCTGCGCGCGGCCCCCGCACTCTTGACGGTAGACGCTGCGTTTCAACTCCAGCCACCCTAGCTAAAACTCAGAATAGGACTGAGTGCCGGGCCGGGAGTTACCGTTTCCGTTAGCCGTTAGGAGACCAGTGTTAGGGAAGAAAGCTTTTTTTTTTTTTTTTTAAGTTTGCGCTCTCTGGCCATTCTCGTGGAGCCGTTTGTCGACTCCTGTGGCTCCTAAGAAAAGCTAGGAGAGACCCCATGCCTTTCGAACACTGCAGAGTGTGTTTCAGGGTTCAGCTAATGGTTAGGGCGAAGTGTTTTAACCTAATTCACACTGTTCCGCCAGTTGTGGTCAAGGGTCCTGTTCAGTAATCAGAATGGTAGTAGCGGTTTGGGTCTGTTGCCGTATCGGGTTTTTCGATTCGTCCCCCTGGTTGTTGGATATGGCTTGCATCTGTCCTTGTATTTGTAAACTTGAGAGATTTCTGAGAATGGTCATCACTGGAAAGGCAGCCAAAAGCGATTCGATGTTCCAGTTTACAACTAGATGGTTTCTGATTAGTCTCTGTAATATACTGGTGTTTTAAGGGCGAAATGGAAGCCCATTGACTTAGCTTTTTCAGGTGTCTGAATATACAGTGTGAAAATTAGTTTTGCCTTTCTTGGCCAAAAATCAGACTCCTTGGAGATTTTTGCGCAGGCGCTTGAATTTGAAAACCTGAAAAAGAAGAGGCAAGTTTTAGAAATAGCTATGTAGTTTGTTGTGCTTCATTCGGTGTCTGTGGTGATCAGAAATTAGTAATGAAAGTAAACAAAGCAAAATGATTTATGTTGGTTTTTATAGGCTACTGCAGCACTAGGGTGTCAGTTGTTGGTCCCGCCCCGAATACTTCAGTTCTGCTCTGCAAGGATATAGAATAACTGGTACGTTTTAGAAGTAGTCTTTTTTCCTTAAATATTTAGTAAGATGTGGGGCTTAACTTTCCGAAAAAGCCAAATGTACTAGTGTCTTTATTTTTTAGCAGATTGGTGTCTTTTTAATACAAGAAAATGGAAACTGAACAGCCGGAGGAAACCTTCCCCAACACTGAAACCAATGGTGAATTTGGTAAGACAACTGTATTTCATTGTTATTGATTCTGTGGTTTAGTAAGCTATCAATACCGTTTACCTTTATAATTTCATAGTCTTGAGGTAGTTGTCAGCTGACACAATTCTTATAAACTAGAAGTAAGTGATTTACATAGGTAACTGAAAATAAAATGGTAGAGAGCCAATAAAAACTTTTCCTTGGATTTTGGAATGTAATTCCCTGGAGTATTTTATCGCAGTGTCTTATTCAATAAACGCGGTCTTTACCAGAGAGGGTAAAGATGACACCAGAAGTACTTTTGGCCTTTTTGCAACATGGTTTAATAACAAATGTTTTATGCACTAAATGGAGTTGCTTTCTTTGAAATCTCAACTATTAATTTCTAGGTAAACGTCCTGCAGAAGATATGGAAGAAGAACAAGCATTTAAAAGATCTAGAAACACAGATGAGATGGTTGAATTACGCATTCTGCTTCAGAGCAAGGTATGTTTCAAACTCAGAAATTTGGCCCCTTTGGAGGGAAACCTTCAAAGCTTGAGAGATTTGTGTGAATCTTTCTGAACAGGCTTGTGAGCTCCGATAGTTACGTGATAGTTACGGTGAGGTGGGGTGTGATCTTAAAGCATTAGTAGTGGGTTAAATCTTGATTGCATTGTAGATTCCTTGGGAAATTAATAGGTTGCTTGATTATCACAAGTCACAGTATAAAAGTGCCTATTTAAATTCTTGGTTTATTTTACGAAGTGGAACTGTGAAGTCTGGTTATATTTATACTCCAAATGCATGTCCAGCATTCTAAATATTCCGAAGCTCAATCTTAACTCAGTCCTCAAAGCACATCTTGAAGAGAGGGGGCTATTGATTTTCATGTTGTTTTAAAGATGTCCAACCTTGTAGCAAAGGTTAGATTTTTGTTGTTGCTGTTAAAACTAAGCATAGATTTTTTTGAGGGAGAGTGTTAAGTTTTTTCTTTTGGTCTTTGTCTTCTACAGAATGCTGGGGCAGTGATTGGAAAAGGAGGCAAGAATATTAAGGCTCTCCGTACAGACGTAAGTATTACAAGGTTTAAACTGCACAAAAAGCTTCAGTTTATGTTTCTAGAAGTTTTAAATAATTACATCATAAAAATCATTTAATAGTTTAGGTGCAAGCCGTTTGTAATAACTTATTACATAGATGATTTCAAGGTTTGCTGTTCCTGTTTTAACAAAAGCCCAGATTAAGTAGGTTGGGGGATTTGCGTGAAACCTCTGCATTTAAGATTCCTCCAAATTAATCACTTCAGGCAAGCTGACATTGTAATTAGCAATAGTAGCAAAGTGTAGAAACCCGTAATTGCACCGTTTTCCATGTGTGAATCAATTACAGAAAACCATTGCAGGTGGCTGATTAAACCCAGAATTTTTTTATTTTTTTATTTGTCCATCTGTTTAACAGCTTGCACATGGAGCACAAAAATTTTATTTAACATTCAGGTTGCATGATTGGAATATGGGTACAGAATAGATCAGGTACTTGATCTTATCAGGAAACCATTTGTCAATGCCTATGATTTGTTTGAGTCTTCATATTTTATAGTGGGTTGACTCTTGTGATTAGACACATTAAATGTTGGCAGTACCAGAAGTGAGCATAATCATGGGACTTAGCTACACCAAAATTCCTAAATTTTTTTCTCGTGATGTATATACTTCTTAATGTTTTTCTTGCTAAAATTGAGGCAAATAGTAGCTTTGTGTTGAGTACTTATTTGACAGTATTTCATTTCTCTCTTGGTCACAGATCTTTGTATGTTCCTCTTGATTGCTGTAAACTGAACTTGAAAAATTGTTTAAAATTTTACAAATCTGCTTGTTAGGATTTAGGAATGTATTTCAGACCTCCAGAAAACCAACCAAACCAGTCTTTTACTACTAGCAGGGGTTTTTGGTGGTGTGGGAATTTTTGTTTTGTCTTTTATAAACCTCTCTCCTCCTAATCCAGATGCTCTGTATAATTATCTGGGTTATTTATTTCCCCATTTCCTCAAGAATTTCAGTAAACTGAGTCATGATAGGTTTTGTGTCTACCCTCATGAGCCAGCCTGCTACTGAAACATCGTTTGTTTCTTTTCTTTTTTTTCTTTTTTTTTTTTTTTTTTTAAAGTTAGAACCATCATTTAAGGTCCTTAAATGTTAAGCCACAGTCAGGTATACAAAAGTCCATTATTGTGTTAGTCTTCAGAACAACTTAAGCTTGTTTCATTAATTGAGAGTATGAGTATAGTTTGTATTAAATTAAAATTTATTGCTTTTCCCCCTTTTCCCTCTCCTTGTTTTTTTGGCCATATATCTCCGTTGCCCATGTACTGGATCGACTTACCCCTGCGTTGCCCACCATGACGTTGGCCCATCCGCCCCTGAACGCCCATGTGAAAACCCTGGTTGGCTATGCCCAAAAATGTGCTCGTTGCCAAACGGGTACCATACTTGACAACTTCTGATTGAATGCCCATGCCCAATGCCAACATCCACGAACGCCAATGACCAATGCA